GGCATGGAAGATTGGATACTGTAAATTTCTCTCCAGATCTTGTGCCCTGGCTGCTAGACCTTCATGGTTGAAAGCTCTCTGGGAGCCACTGAAGAGATCCTTCTGCTGTCTCTCTCAATGACTTTCCATCAGGAAAAAAAAATAAGTCTCCCGGATTAATCTTTTGTCAAAAACATGTGTTCCACTCACATGTTTTGGAGAAAAAAAGGAGGGATTGTAGGAGGTTAAAACCCACCCCTCTCCCAGAAAAATGAAATATCCTAGGAAATATTGAAAAGGCAGAATATTTTCCTGGACGTAAACAGGAAGAAACATGTTTTAAAGAGAAAATAGCTCCCAGCAGCTTCCTGCCCCCACCCATTTTGTCAATGGGCCATTGAGGGGTCCAAGCCAGTCCCTTTACATAATAAAGAGTTCTCCCCTTCATCTCCAGGGGGATGGGATTAAGGCATGATAATATTGGCCCTTCACCCAACTCACCACATGCCACCTGAAAACTCAACCAAACCTGGATTCAAAACGCAGCCTAGAGAGTTGCCCCTGCATGGCCCCATGGGAGTCTTGACAACCAATCAGAATACATTTCTTACATAGGAACAGGAAACAGAGGTGGGACTGAATAGGTTATAAAAAGCATGGCTAGCCCCTCCCTCGACCCTTCTCTTCTTCTCCACCAACATTGAAGCATGTGATCACCTTTTCTGTTCAGGATGCAAGCCATGTGGTCCTGTCCACCATTAAACCATCTTTCCAAGCAGCCTCCATGTCTCCAGTGTCATTTTCCCCACTTGGAGCCGAACCCAGAAGGATATTTCTTTCAACAGAATAAAAGGAAATTGTTTCAATTAAATATACAGCAGATTTTTCATTGAGTGTGTGGTGCACAGCAACAATAGTGATCCTGCTCAGAGGTCATATTTGAATAAATGTAATGGATTTTGTGTTGCATAATAAAAATATGCAGAGAGCATTGTCAGATCAGATCAAATATATTTTGGGTATTAAGAGACAATTTGTCAGCCATAGCTTTCTCTACATCCTTCACACACACAATATTGAGGAATGACTGGGTTACATAATGCTATACAAAAAACACATTGAGGACGAAATAACTATGAAATTCAGCACTTTTTATCGCGTATTTACCAACATAAGGAATTTTTAAAAAAACATTCCATAGATGGGGAAATGACAATTCTCCTCCAAATTGCTCCCCAGTTAATATTTTAAAGTCTGGATATAGTAAATTGATATTCAGACAAATGTGCATGGGTAACTTGATCCTCCAGTCTCCATTTAAAATTGTGTACAGATAGTCCTCAACCTAAGACCACAATTGAGCCCAAAATGTATGCTGCTAAGTGAGAAATTTGTTAAGCAAGTTTTGCCCCATTTTATGACTTTTCTTGCCACATTTGTTAAGTGAATCATTGCAGTTGTTAAATTAGTAACACAGTTAAGTGAATCTGGTTTCCCCATTGACTTTGCTTGTCAGGTCACAAAAGGGGATGACATGGCCCCAGGACACTGCAAGCCTCATAAATGTGAGTCAGTTGTTAAGCATCTGAATTTAAATCATTTGACCATGGAGATGCGCAACAGTGTAAGTGTGAAAAATAATCATGTCACTTTTTTCAGTGCCTTTGTAACTTCAGTCACTAAACCGTTTTAAGCGGAGGACTATGTGTAATTGGTGGCCATCACGCTTGCCAGTGCCAAGTTCCACAAATTAATGATGGCCACTTCATCAAACTCATCACTGTTGCTGTAACTATAAATCACAAGCAATCTATTTTAATACGTTCCTCTGTAATAAGCTTTCTCTGGATGTAATGGATGGCTCAAAGTTCTAAAGTTGGAATAAGCAATATTATTTTTATCTACATTTTTCAGTAACTTTGGTTGCATTTTTGAATGCAACCGTTCACTTTAAAATATTGTTTTAAGTCATTCCAATACTCCCTGCAAAGTTGGGCAGGTATATTTCGGTTTCGGTCTCCCCCATATCAACAGTGTGGAAACGCCAAATGTTAAAGAGATCTCGGTTTTTTCCTCCGAGAATTTGCAGAATTGGGCTAAAATATTTTTTGGGGGTAAAAAAAAATTTTCCTATATATGTTTTTAAATGCAGAATTTAAATCATGGTTTGAAGGCGCTGGATATGACTAACGCCTGAAGATAAACTGTTTAGTAACTTCGATAATCTTAAAACCCACCCAGCTATTGAGCGGCTTTTTCTTGACCAGTGTGGTGCGCATACTCAAACCCGCCAGAGAAATGCATGCTGGAACTTGTAGCTGCAGAAGGGGAAAAAAAAAACTTTGCAAGTTCTCGTCCCACAATTCCTCTTGAGGAGGCGAAAAACATGACACTGTTATGCAGTCCACGCGGAGGGGCTGGCAAGTACAGTAAGCGCGCACCTGCGTCACCGCGGAGACTAACAAGGCATAAAAGAAGGAAAATGGGCGTGGCTCAAGCGGTACGTCAGAGGTGGGAACGAAACAAGAGCCTGTTCGGTTGAGCTTGCTCCATGACTTGCTCGAATTCAGCGTCTGTCCCTTTAAGCTTGTCCGGGCGCGAGAAAAGGCTGTCTCGCGCCTGCGCATCGGAATATTGACCTCGCGCTCGTTTGGCGCTGCTCGTGACTACTTCTTGTTGTTATTTTTTTTTTCCTGAAGGTGGTAGTTGGTTGTGGGGGAGGGTAAAAGATAACGTTTTGCGTTCGATTCTTCCAATTCAACCGATAGAGGCGCCGCCGTTGCCATAGCGACCTGCCCTTCGACGGGCCCGGCCTGGGACGAACCCCCAGTGGCCGAGGCCATGGAGGAACCCGGGGCAACCGCCTCGGTCTGTGGAGACGCCGACGCCGCGGCCGCCGTTACGGACGCCGCGTCTGAAGTGACAGAAATCCTCGTTCCTGGCCCGCAGCCGCTGCGGCTGCTCGAATGGAAAGTAGCGACCGGAGCGGCAGTGAAAATCGGCTCGGTCTTGGCGGTCTGCGCGCCTATCCAGATCCCAGCGCGGCCGGGCGCGTCGCTTATCGAGCCCGGCCTGCAACGGGCGGCCGAGCGAAAGGTCAAAGCCGAGCGCCCGGGAATCGTACGAGAGCTGCGCGCCCAGCCGGGACAAGTCATTCCCCCGGGGTAAGGAAAGGACGACGACGATCTGAGCGGGTGGGCCGATCCCTGAGGGCGCCGCCTCTGATCCCCGGGACTCGGACCCCTCAAGTTTCGGCTTTCTGGGTGGGTGGTTGGGTGCTTCCTGGAGAGATGGCGGCGGGGCTAGGCGACTCGCTCGCTCTGCTTGTTCTTCAAGCGCGGTGAAAGATGAGGAGGTTGGGGAAAGCGCGCGAGGGGCAGGCCGTCCCTTCCCCGCCCTCTAGCGCTGCGGCTCCGGTGACAGCCGAGGCCCCGCTCCTTTTTCTTTCTTCCCTCCCCGGTCGCCATCCGACGCCGCCATCGTGAGGGGAGGTTTTGCAGGCCTAGGTTGCCGGAGAACTGGCCGAGGCGACGGGTCCTCAGAAAAGCCTGCCAACCTGCCTCAGATAGCCTATATAAGCACCTGACGCTGCGTCAAGTGGGGGGGGGGAGGCGGGATCCTGCGGGCAGCGCAAGGAAAAACCGCAGTCTGCCTCTTATGAGAGAGCGCTGGATGAATTGGACTTTATTTTTATTCGGTCTCTTGGATTCCCCTCCCTCTCCTTTTAGTGGGGGAAGTGGGAGGAGTGACTAATTGAAAGCAAAGCCTAAGGATTCGGAAAGATGAAAGTAAAATCAAGGACTCGAACCCTGTCCCTTCATCGATTTTCCTTGTGTTTACATTTTGATTATAGGTGATGACTGTAAGCTTTCATTCAGTATCAGTTCTGTAACTGTTAATGGGGAGATGATATAAGAAGCCAAAAGAGACAGACACTGGAGGATCATTAGCAGATAGTTTGAATTACCTAGTTCAGAAGAATGGATGATTGCCATTAATTCTTAAACTTTTTCGTGACAGTAGTTGTGTGATC